AGACAAAAAAAAACCCTCTCACAAAAAAAAAAAAAAAAAAAAAAAGTGTAAAAGCAATGGTGTGTAAGCACTGAATTCTTCCTTCCTCCCAAACTGGGTACCTGGAGCTATGGACAGGTTTATATAAATCATGAGTGTGGTAGGGACTGCCATTGCCTAGTGAGTGGGGACCAGAGATGTTGTAAACATCTCACAAATTATATGGCAGATTTATTTATTTATTTATTTATTTATTTATTTATTTATTGGTTTTTCGAGACAATGGTCTCGGTACTGGGATTAAAGGTATATGCCATCACTACCCAGCTATACTTATTTTTGTTGTTGTTTTTCAAAATAGGGTTTCTCTGTGTAACAGCTCTGACTGTCCTGGAACTAGCTCCATAGTCCAGGCTGACCTCGAACTCACAGAGATCCACCTGCCCCTCTGCCTCCCAAGTGCTAGGATTAAAGGCCTGTGCCACCACTCAGCAGTTAAAGGCTAGGCTCACAACCAAAAATAGACCTTTTTTTTTTTTAACCTAAGTAATTTTTTTCTTTTCTTTATTTTTCATCTTCATTCATTTGTTTTTGGGGGGTTGTTGTTTGTTTTGTTTTTTCAAGACAGGGTTTCTCTGTGTTGCCCTGGCTGCCCTGGAACTCTTTAGACCAGGCTGGCCTCTGTCTGAGTTTATAGAGACCCACCTGCCTCTGTCTCCCGAGCTGGAATTACAGGAGTGTGCTACTACTCCCCAGCTATTTTGGTTTGTTTGATTGCTTTGAGACAAGCTCTCATAGACCCCAGTTGTGGTTTTTTTTTTTTTTTTTTTTTTTTATTATTATTAAATCAGGCCCTGTTACCTGAAACTCCATGCTCAAGCAACCCTGCCTAATACCTAGGACTACAAGCATGTGAGCCATTGCTGTAATTGTTTTTTTTTGTAAATTTATTTTTGATAAAGGAAAGTAGAGAAATTTATTCCAAACTCTAAAACTAAATGACAATGGTTCCCTTTTCAACACTCTGTCAGTCACCTCATCTGTGAAGAATGCAAATGATACATTCACTTAGAAAGAAGTGCTACATGAAGGATATGGAACTTATTAGAAACCACATACCACTGCTAAGTGGGAGCTTGTATCCATGGTCCCCAACAAAGGCTGTTAAATGCTGTGGGCTTCATGGGTGCTAGGTGGATGCCCTCTCACTGAGCTACTACCCAGTCTTTAGATACACAAACTCTTTGAGCTGAGTTCAAGGTCTTTGTTTTATTGAAAAACCACAGATGGTGGTGGCTTCAAACAGATTCTCTTGGCATCAAAAGGATAAAAGGTCTGTTATCTTGAAGTTATTGGGGTTTGGCCAGGGCAGGAGGATTGCATGTTCAAGACCAGCCCATACTACAGAGCAAGACCCACCTGAGCAATTTATCTAAACACTGTCAAAATAAAACGTCAAAGGAAGGCTAGGAACTGTAACTCAGATAGAATGCTTGCCTAACATACTCAAAGCCCTAGGTTCAATTTCCAGCAGAGAAAAACAAGGGGGATGTAGAATAAGAAATGTTTTTCTCACTAATAATATGTCTTGGGCAGCTTCAGATGCTGCATTCAGATTCCTCAAAACAATAACCAGGAGACAAAGGGGAGGGTGAAATGGCCGGGTGAAAAATGTGCTTGTGCAACCCTGATGACCTGAGTTCAATCCCCAGAACCCACATAAGCATGGAAGGAGAGAACCAAATCCACAAAGTTGTCCTCTGACCTCCACGTGTGTGCTGTGACATGCGCACCTGTACATACACACCATACACAATAACAGTAAACACATAGATCCTCAAAAATAGCTAATGATGCAAGCATGATTATAAACCTTCTGTGCGGGGTGAGGAAACTGGTGTATGGCAAGGAAAGTGACTGGCTAGAGCTCAGGAGTGCTAGGAAAAGCACTGGACTCTGATCTCTCTCTGTCCTTCCCTTCCTCCCTCCCTCGTGTCGTCGTCCGTCCCTCCCACCCCACCCCCACCCCTGCAGAATGCAAGGATGTGAACAAGGTGGCCTACTGCCCACTGGTGCTCAAATTTCAGTTCTGTAGCCGAGCCTACTTCCGCCAGATGTGCTGCAAAACCTGCCAAGGCCGCTAGGGGCGTGCAGCACCAGGAGCCACCCGGAGCACAGGCTGGGGGGAAACCCCACTGGAGAGGGCCTGAAGGAGGGGGGCTGGGATTGAAAGGTGAGATGCAATTGAAAGTTATTTATTGGGTACCCCCTATAGGACTCCTAGCTAGGGGATGGAGAAGAGCTGATTATCCCCAGGTTCCCTCTTCTTGCCCAGCTGACAGCGTAGGGAGAGGACCGCCCTTTGTTTCACACGTTAAGTCCCCAACACTCCCCCCACCCTTTGATCGGAATATGTACTGTGAAGAGTGGGAGTGGGGAGGGGGTATGTTGGTGCCCTGCCCCCCCAGCACTGTTTTATCCCTCCACTCTGAGCTGGGGGGATTTATATCTGCTATGGGGGAGTGGGATTAATACCACCTCCCTGTGACCCTCCCCCAAATTGACCAGGGGGAAGATCTACCCCAACCTCTGCCCTGCCTGCCCCAGGGGGAGCCCAACATCCAGGCTACCCCCATCATGGTGCTACAAGCCCTGCCCTGGGGCCCACACACTCCTCACCAAGAAGCCTTACATCAATAAAGTTCTGTCTTATGTAGATTTCTGCTCATGAGTGGGTCTGTGTCTCTGTATAGGCATCCCATCCAGCCCCTACCCTAAAATCAAAAGGGAACACAGGTAGGTTTAGCAAGATGTCACATTTGCTGCCAAACCTAACAACCTAAATTTAATCTCTGGGACCCACATGATAGAAGAAGAAAAACAACTCTTATAAGTTGTACTCTGCCCTCCACAAGTTTGCCATGGCATGAATAAAATTTAAAAAATCTTTTAAAAGTGGGGCAGGTGCCCACTGTTTCTAATGGGTTATCCTTGACGGAGAGAGAGGACTTTGGCCACTACAAATAAAAACCTATCATTTGCCAGGTGGTGGTGGCACACACCTTTAATTCCAACTCTTGGGAAGCAGAGGCAGGTAGATCTCTGAGTTCAAGGTCGGCCTGGTCTACAGAGCAAGTTCCAAGACAGCCAGAGTTATACAGAGAAACCCTGTCTGGAAAAACAAACAAAACCTATCATTTCAAGAGAAAAGTACAGTTTCCAACAGAAGATTCCAAAGGTCCAGCCTCCTTGTACTCCCAACCAACTCCCTTCATATTGAGTAGTGCTACTAACCCTGGATATTGGAGACATGGCTTCTCAGCTATGGCCAGGAGGGGGCGCACTTCATCCAGAGCGCACAGGATACCCGAGCCCTCGGACATGGACCAAAGATGGATCTGAGCACACCATCCCTGCTAGACTCGAAATGGTTCAGTCTTATACACATCCTAAGTGGGTGGTATGAGAAGGTGTAAACCTTTGTTTTGTTTTGTTTTTCTAGACAGGGTTTCTATGTGTGACAGTTGTAGCTGTCCTGGAACTCCCTCTGTAGAGCAGGCCCACCCCAAAGTCACAGAGATCTGTCTTCCTCTGCTTCCAAGTGCTGGGATTAAAGGTATGAGCCACTACTGTCTGGCTAGGTGACAACCTCTTGAAACCCTCATTTCCTAAAATGTCAACAGAAGGCTCATGTGAAATCTGGTCTTCCAAAGATCAGGGACTGGGCTAAAATACAGTGGGCCCTATAAGGCTCTAGGCACTGCTCATAAAGCCAAGTCATGAAAACAGCAAAGTTGCAGGTGTGAAAACCCAGACTAGGCCAGGAGAAGTGGCGCATACCTTTGCTCCCAGCACTCCAGAGACAGGATGTTTTCTGTGAGTTTGAGGCCAGCCTACTTTGCGTACCAAATTCCAGACCAGTCAGAATTACATAGTGAGACCCTCTCTCAATGAAACAAAAACAAACTAACAAGAAAAAAAATCCAGATTTTGGGCTAGAGGGTGGGAGTGCTGGATAGACAACTCAGCTGCTGTGAGCACTTCCTGCTGTTTCAGAGGACTTCAGTTCAAATCCCAGCCTCCACATCAGCTGGTTCCCAACTTCCTGTAACTCCAGGTCCGGGAGATACGAGATACGGTGCCTCTGGCTCTGGCTCTCTGTCTCTGTCTCGTCTCTCTCTCTCTCTCTCTCTCTCTCTCTCTCTCTCTCTCTCTCTCACACACACACACACACACACACACACACACACACACACACACACCGGAGAGGGAGAGTTGTGAGTGCAATTATTTAAAGTAAATTTTCTTTTACCAGATCTGGGGCTAGGCAGATTGCTCACTTTCGCACAAGCATCAGGACATCAGTTTGAATCCCCAGAATCCACATAAAGCCTGATTACAGTGGCAAATATCTGCAACCCCGGTGTCCCAACACTGAGGGGGAGGGGGAGACAGCAGACTTCTTGAAGCTTGCAGGCCAGCTAGCCTGGCTTCCCACGGTGGGAAAACAACAAAGACACCTGTCTCTACATGGGGGCTGATAGCTGGCCCCTGAGCTTGTCTGACCTACACACACACACACACACACACACACACACACACACACACACTCATATGAACATTCATACATATACACATACACTACCCCCATACTCAAACACAAAGATTGAAAAAAAGAGAGAAGTCCAGTTCTGACATACAAAATTAGAAACCTTACATGGGCATAAGGGTTGTGGTGCCTTCCGCTGTCTTTATCCTGACCAGCACACCTGGCTTTGGAGGAATATTCTACAGGGAGAGTCATAAGGGTTTTACACGAGGACACCCGGAGCTGACACATCTGAAACAGAACTTCCCTTCCTTGATTCTAAGAGAGAGACCTCAACTAGGTGGCCAGTCCTGCAGTCAGCTGACCTGGGTACTTTTTGCTGTAGCCTCTTTTCTTGGGGACATGGATGGAGAAGGGACTCTCTCCAGTCTGGCAGTGGCTGCCAGCCATCTTTAACCTATCCCTTCAGGCACCAAACTCCAACCAACTTCAGCTGGGTCATTGCTGCTAAGGGCTCAGAGCATTGTCCCCGCCCTCAGCTTCCCTCCCCTGTGGCCATGGCCCCTCCCGTCAAAGGAAGTGAGAGAGGGGCTGTTGCAAGAGGAACTGGGGCCAGGAGTCTGAAGAAGGAGTAGGTGAAGAGCAGGGCCATGCCAAAGCCACCCCCAAGGACCCCCTGAGCCTGCACCCCTGCCACTACCCACAGGAGCCCAGACACCAGCCCTCACCATGGTAAGTTCTCCAAGGGTAGGCTCTAGGAGTAATGGCCTGGTAGCAATGCCCCTAAGCACCCTCGGAAATTGGGGCAATCGTTATGAGAATGCAGAGCCCTGGGGAAGGGAGCCTCACAGGGCAGCACAGGGCACCCCCATGTCTTCCCCCAAGAACCAAGTTCTAATCTAAGAGTGCCACATTGGCTATAGGGACCAAGACTGCAGTGTAATAGGAAGGGAGAAGGTGTCCCTGAGGCGATTACACAGTTTTCAGGGAAGGGACATGTCCCTTTCCCAGGGGCTTAGAGAATCCTCTCAGATCCTAGTCTTCCCCTGTGGTTTGAAACAAGCATTTCCCCCTATCTTGGTCTTTGTTCCCAGAGCTCATATTTGGAAGTTGGTCTAGAGATGGGAGTGTTAGGGGGGGCTCTTATTGAAAACATTCATGGGGGTCTGTGGGTTTGGTCACTGTGAGGCCACCAGTGGTGGGGCTGGTTGTGTCTCCCATGAGGGCTGTGGGGTGTGTTAGCATTGAGTGCAAGTGATGATAGGTGGTTTGACCATAAGGGTCTCAGAGGCAGATGATAGTTCCATGGTAGGGTCCTTGGCTAGTATGCTCAAGGTACTGAGTGTCATCCCTAGCATTGAAAATAAACCACCATCGTCATCATTTAACTCCCAGTTAATATTACTAAAGAGGAAACGTTGGAGATGGCAAATGACAAGGAGGAGGAAGAGAGAAAAACAGGAAAGGAGAGAAGATGGGAAGAGGAGGAGACAGGACTAGGTGACAAATGGTGGAGGGGTTCAAAAGATGAGAGACTGTGTTCCGGCTACTACAAGGATGGCAGTAAAGATACTGCAGCCAGCGATGTCACAGGTCCAAGACCTGCTGATGGTGACAAGGCTGGAGGATAAGCAACACCTGGACATGCTGTCTGTACCCAACAGCATCATGGCATGTGCAATAAAAGCCAGGGTTGGTCACACAAATCACCCCTGTGACTCCACAAAGCCATGGTCCACTTCAGCTTTTGGGTTTTGTCATTCTGTCACTGAGAATAAGGGGATGCTCATAGGAGAGGGGTAGTTGTTGGGGTTCTTGGGTTCGTAGCAGTTACAGCAAACATGACTGGAGTGGAGGCAGGGAAGCAGGGTGAGAGAGAACATCTTTGAAAGAGCCAGTGAGGGCTGAGGCTGTGCTCAGTAGGTGCAGCATTTACTGGCATGCACAAGCTTTGGGTTCCATCCAGTGAGCATCACATAAACTGGGTGTGGTACTGTGCACCTGTTGTCCCAGGACTTGGGAGGTGGAGGCAGGAGTTTAAAGCATCCTTGACTATATAGCAGGTTTAAGGCCAGCCTGGGCTCCACGAGACTCTTTCTTTAAAAAAAAAAAAACAAAAAAGAAAAAAAAAAGAAAAGAAAAGAAACGAAAAACAGGAAGAGATTTGCTGCTTGAAAGAAAGGGAAACCCCTCCTAGGCTGCCAATGCTCTGAAATGCTTAGTCAACATACTGCTTAGCAGACAGATCTGAGGGAAGAAATGAATCAAAGTGAACAGTCATAAACCTGGAGCCAGGTATGGTGGCACACAGCTGGAGGCAGAGGCAGAGAATCATGAATTGGAGGCCAGCCTGAACTATCCAGCAAAACCTTGTCTCAATAAAACCAAAATAGGACCAAAGCTGGAGCTCAGCTGATAGTTTCCTGGGTTCCATTCCCAACACTGCATACACCAGGTCTGTCAGTCCAGAACTCCTCTGGCAGGGCAGAATTTGAGTCCCGCCCAGGCTATAAGAGACAGGTGGGCTGCAGGGAAGGAAAAGAAAGTTAAAGAGGACAGTAGGAGAGAAAGAAAAAGACAGACACTATCTACGAGAACCATAGCTGTGTCTGGGGACACTGAGAGCTTCCCAGAGGGTTGCTGAATGGCAAGATGCTGTTGAAAGAGAGCCTTTTATGGAACATGCATGCTAAGTACCTAGGAGGCTTGTAGTGGAGAAGGGTGGTTTCTTACTGTGGACAAGTCTCTGGGCGTTCCTTGTTGAGTTGTACTGTTGTGGTTGTAATGGTGAGGGTTGTTGGTTGATGGAGATCGGTGCTAACACTGGTTCTCATGGAAGGGTTGGAGGGTGGTCATCTTTGATGACAACTGGTGCTTAGTTTTGTTATTTTTAAGACATGTTTCTGTTTTTATTCATGTGTACATGTCAGTGTGATTGTGTGCCATGTGCATCAAATCCCCTAGAGCTGGATTTACTGTTGGATGTGAGCACCATATGGGTGCTGGGAACTCAACTTTGATCCTCTGAAAAAATATCAAGTGCACCTTTCTCCCTCCCCGGCTATCTTGGTGGCTGTTCTTGGTTGGGGGCTGTCCCGCACCTAAGGCAGGAAGATGGTGACCGCAAAGAAGACTGCAAAAAGTCCCTGGAATTGATCAACTCTAGGCTCCAGCTTGTTATGAAAAGTGGGAAGTACGTGCTGGGATACAAACACACTCTCAAAATGATCAGACAGGGCGGAGCCAAGTTGGTTATCCTCACCAACAGCTGCCTGACTTTGAGGAAATTTGAAATAGAATACTATGCCATGTTGGCTAAAACCAGTGTCCGTCACTACAGTGGCAATAACACTGAATTGGGCACAGCATGTGGAAAATACTACAGAGTATGCACACTGGCTATCATTGACCTAGGTGGCTCTGATATTATTAGAAGCATGCCAGAACAGACTGGTGAGAAGTAGTAAACCAGAAAAGCGTGCTTTTAACCACTGAGCCATCCCTACAGCCCCTGTCAGTGTTTGCTGCTTTGAGTTGAGGTTTCCTGTCTCCCCAGGCTGGCCTCAAATCCATGATATAGACAAGGATGACCTTGGAAATCTGATCCTCCTGCTTCTATCTCCCAAGAGCTAGGATATAGGCGTGATTCACCATGTCCTGCTGCATGCACTACTGGACATGGAACCCAGGGCTTCATGTATGTGAGGCAAGCACTCCACCAGCTGAGCTAAATCCCAGTCCTTTGTTTTTGGAAACAGTCTCATATGTCGTAAGTCATCCTTGAACTCACTATGTAGCCAAAATGACCTTAAACTCCTGTTCCTCCTGCCTCTACCCACTGTAGTTACAGGCATGTGCCACCATGCTGGAATAGATGGTGTTTAATATTAGTCATTAACTATTGGTTGTTTTCAGATGGAAACTGACTATGCTGGTTATTTGGAGCTTGAATGATTAATACTCATTTGCTGTTGGCTGTTCATTGCTAGGTTCTAGTGATGGTAACTATCAATTCGCTGTTAGATTTGGGATGGGATAGGGTTGTGTCTGTCAATGTCTGTGTGCCAGTGTGTGTGTGTGTGTGTGTGTGTGTGTGTGTGTGGTGTATAAGGTGTGTGTGCTGACTGACCACGTGTGAAGGCCAGAGGAGAACATCAGGTGCCCTGCTCTCTTGCTGCCTTATTCCCTTGAATCAGATCTCTCATTGAATCTGGAGTTAGGCTGGCAGCTAGTAGAACCCACAGATGCTTTTTGTCTCCACTTCTGTAGCACTGGGGTTCTAGATGAATTCTTGACCATGGTTGACTTTCTATATGTATGCTGCAAGTTCAAACTCAGGCTCCCATGCTTCTGTAGCAAGCACTCTTACTAAGCCATCTCTCCAGCCCCTTAGTGTGAGTTCGCTCTCACATAGATTTATTTGGGGATGGGGCATATGTAAAGGTCAGAGAACAACTTGCAGGGGTGGGTTCTCCCCTTCCACTGTTTGGGTACTGGGAATTGAACTCGGATGATCAGATTCGGCAGTAAGCACCTTTACCCTCTCAGCTATTTTTTCTGGCCCCTGGAGTATTTGATGATGGTTATCATTTTGTGCTTGCTTGTTGTCATCGTTGAACACTTTTTATTTATTTATTTTTGCTCAGCCTAGCCTCAAACTCAGTGATCCTCCTGCCTCAGCCTCCAAAAGGCTGGGATTGTTGGCATGCATCACCACTTGTGCCTGTTTGTTGTTGGTGGTGGTGGCTAGTTGATTCTGGTTGGTGGCAAGGGTGGTAGTTATATAAGCAATGTTAATGGTGGAATTATTTGTTGCTTCTGTTTGATGCACTGACTCGGAAGATCATAGCAATTTCTGTCTGTTTGACTTTCTGGAGTGTGAGCCGGTGGGGGCAGCTTTTGTTTGGTAACAGTGGTAACTTGAGGGTAAAGGTGGTTGCTTTGAAGGTTAGGGCACAAAGTGAAGGAAGGAGTCAGAGCTGAAGCTATGGTTCAGTGGCAGAGCACTTGTCTAGCAAGTTCAGGGCCCTGAGTTCCATTCCTAATACCACAAAAACAAACAAAAGGAATAAGGGGAAACTCAGAGAGATGTGTCAATGGTTAAGAGTGCTTGGTGCTCTTGCAGAGGACCAGAGCTCAGTCCTCAGCACCCACATCAGGTGCCTTAGGACTGCCGGTAACTCCAGTTCTAGGGATCCAGCTGGCCCCTATGGGTACCCACACACATACAGCACAAACACATATAGACACATGAATAAAAATGAAATAAATCTTTCATAAAAACCAGGAGGAACAAGGAGGCCATTGGCCAGAGGAATGAACCAAAAAGGAGGTATTCATCAAAGAGACTTAACAAAACCACAACTGTGGGGCTGGGGTTGTAGCTCAGTTAGTGTGGTGCTTGCCTTATGTGCATGAAGCCGGGTGTTTCATCTCAACACTACATAAACCAGTGTGGTAGTGCACACCTCTCATCACAGCACTTGGGAGATAGAAGCAAGAAGCTCAGAAGTTCAAGATCATCCTCTGCTATATAGCAACTTTGAGACCAGCCCGGGTGATATACTACCCGGTCACAAATGAACTAAAGTAACATTAATTTTTTTAATAATATTTATTTATTGTGAAGGAAGTGAATTTGCTTATGGGCCATGCAACACTTATGGAGGTCAGAGGATGGCTTCGAAGAATTTGTTCCTTCTTTTCATCGTGTAGATCCAGGGGATCAAACTTAAG